TCTTAATAAAACAAATGACTTTCAATCTTCTATCATGCCAAGCTTTTCACAATCCAGCAGTTTATGCCAAGCTTTTCACAATCCAGCAGTCCATGCTGTATTTAAAATATATCCACGAGGATCACACTAATGTTTAAAACATTTTCAGCCAGACGTTAATAATATAATGGGAATATACGCAATATCTTATGGGAATTTAAATTTGTGAATTCAAGTATATGAATTTTAGTAAGAAAATACTGGTTATATTTTTTTTAAAAGTTTACAAGATAAACAGGCTTTACAAAGATTGTTACAATTTGTTCAGTTATTCTAATATTTAATCCTCTAAGTTACGGAAAGCTTGTTGCATTTCTTCATAAAGTTCATCGTAATCAGATTTGATTTTTGCCTCACCATCTTTAACTGGGTCCTGTAAGAATTAAGTTTTTGATGAAATACGAGACCATGTTTAATTTTAACCTCAATAGAACAAGGGCTGTCAGACCAATAGGTCATTTTGGGACAGGAAAAATGAAATGAAATGGGTTTTACGTCTTACTGTTCTGCTACGACTGGGCTAATGAAGATGGGCATACAGTGTGCTATCAGGGAAATTTTGCCTGCAGCCTACTCTTATTTCGAATTCCAACTGGTTTTGTTACGTGCATGCCAAGGTGTACACGGGACCTTGGTTTTCCGTTCAATCCGAACGACTAGACTTTGTCACTTGCCAGGCGATCCGTCCTACATCACTGTCAAGGGGTACCATGCCGACAAATACCGATGAACTTTCTCGACCAACGCAGGGTTAGTGAGCCAACATCCTACTCACTGAGCCCCCGTGGCTCCAGGCATGTAGGATACCTATGAGGTAAATAGGGCGACAACGAAGATGTTAGTCTTCTTTAATTAGTGTTTTATGCCTCTTGGGATTTAACTTTACAAAGTGGGTTGACTACATTTCTTTCCAATTGCTCTACAAATAGCAATCTGATTAAAACACAGATCCTAATTCGTTTCCTTTATTAAAGTTCAAAATTTTGTTGTACTTGTCTTTACTACACTAAGATCTGGAAGAGTTGTTAAATAACCTGTGTTCTGGTTGATGTGAGGGATTAGCCAATGAAACAGTCTGTTACGGTGAATTTTTGGAGTGAGGTGCATGGAACTGTGGGTAACCCACTAGAAACATCAACAATGATTGGTTGATCAAATGTCTGATGTCATAGGGTCAAAAGCCGCTCATATGACCTCTGACGCTACAACTGGTCAGATCTTCATGTAGTAAAGGCCATCAAAAGTATAAAAATCGAAACATAATATAGATCTGTATTTTAATCAGATTGTACAAATCTATACATAATGGTTCCTAACCCTAACCACCATGCCCCCCACTACCACTTCGGCTTATTCGTAAAAAGCTTACCTTAAATTTCATACTACTAAGTTTATAAAGAATATCATTCATTTGATCTCGGATTATTGCGTAGGTTATTTTATTCTCACTCTGTGCCGTACTTTCAACAGCATGACGAGCCATATCATAAAATGATATAATATTTTTTAACATTCCTGTTGTTTTATAGAAGGGACAGAATCTGAAAATAAATAAATTCATGAATATTTATAACATATGTATTGATGCATATTATCAAGCGGACGTTCACCAAGACAGCAGCATTTCTACTTGGTCTTCACGAGACCATCATGACAACAAAACATTTTCCTTACCAGCCCAATGTTACGGTTGCCACAAGAAGGTGGAAGCAATCTTGTAAAATCTTTATATCTCAAGTTTTGGTGAATATTTTCATTTAAAACATGATCGTATGTTGATATTTTTATAAAATTTCTAGCTATATTAACGAAATTACCTGTCATAAGGTGTGTATCTAGCTATAACGAGATTACCTGTCATACGGTGTGTACCTAGCTATAAAGAGATTACCTGTCATATGGTGTGTACCTAGCTATAACGAGATTACCTGTCATATGGTGTATACCTAGCTATAACGAGATTACCTGTCATATGGTGTGTATCTAGCTATATTAATGAGATTACCTGTCATATGGTGTGTAACCATTTTGTTGAAGGAAATCATCTTTAATCAGTTTAGCGACTTCAAGAGTGATTTTATCAGATTCAGCTAAAGACCCCTGCAATACAAAAATATACAAGTAGAGAAATAAATAAATGACGTTTTAGTCGAGTGTTACTGGTTAGATTAGATGTAACATCTCTATAAGTAAGTGCAGGAGGACCGCACTACACACAAAACAAAAATCTACAAGATAAACCTGTGGACAAGACAGAAAATAGACATTGCACCAAATAAACAAATATCAAATCAAGTGAATGGATCCGGGGGCTAGCCGTAAGCGTCCACTGCGCTGTACAGTACCAGGCCTGTAGTGACACAGACTTCACTCAAATTTGAAAACAATCAAAAAACAAAAAAGACGTAACAGAAATAATGTGACCAATCTTGAAAGTGGTCGTCTCCTCAATGGCGATAGTCTGCCAGTTGACGTCACGAGTTAGTAGAACGTCAAACAATTTTAACAATAAGGGCGAAAATCCAGATAAAATCTCGGAAAACGCTAAAATAATAAGTGTAGTGATATTGATATTGAATGATATATAGATCATTACCAACACTAGGAATCCGTTTAAAGTAGTGGGATTTATTAACAGTGTTGATAATTATTGTTACACAACAGGAATAAAACATATATTATTATTATTCTTTAAGTGATACAGACGTTGTTTTGTGCTACATTGATTTTACCAAACAATATCCTACCAGTGACCGATTACAGTTAACGGGGGGGGGGTCCATATAACGGGAGATAACGGGGCATAATGGGGGAGCTCCAGATAACATAAAAGATCTAATTAACGAGACACAGGGATTCACAAGATAACTTTAAGGACAGAACGTGAAACAGATCCAGCTGAATAACAGCCATACTGTTCCATTCCTGCTATTATAAACCAAATTATCTTACTTTTCCGACCAACTGTACAATTTCCGATAAATCTTCTTCTTCTTGTAAAATTTCTTTACACTGTAATGACAAACAAAAAATGTTTTTTTTTTATGATGGCAAAAGGAAATTGAGATTTAAACAGTGAGTGGAGAGAGAGAGAGAGAGAGAGAGAAAGTTTAAAGTCCACTCGACACAAACTAGGTCATTTTGGGACTAACATGGTTTAAATTTTATTTCAATAATTTGCTTGCGCGTAGGGGTCTTCAGCAGTGGGAGGAAACCGGAGGACCCAGAGAAAACCCATGAGGTTGGACAGTGAGTGTAGAATATAACATGATATAAACGTTTCACTTGATCAACATTTTACCCACTCATTTCACTCATTTGATTTTGTCATTTTTCAAATCAGGGATATAAAATGAAATAGGGTTTAATTTTATACAGAAACTCGGCTAATGAAGACAGATATAAATGAAATGAAATGAGGTTTAATGTCCTACTGTTCTGCTCCTATACTGGGCTAATGAAGACGGGCATACGCCATACAGTGTGCTATGAGGGAAATTTTGCCCGGGCAGCGGCACTATCGCCTACTCTTATATTGAATTCCAACTGCCAAGGATCTTTTACGTGCATTCCAATGTATACACGGGACCTCGGTTTTTCGTCTCATCCGAAGGACTAGACAGCTTTCCTTGTCAGGCCCTCCGTCCTGCATCACTGACAAGGGGGAACCACGCCGGAAAATGAAGACAGATATATATATAGTGTGTTATGAGTGAAATTTTAATGTGTACACGGGACAAATTCTATCAAAACATATTAAGCTAACACACATCCTCCAAAAACAAACAACTTTGATGGCACAATTAAAAAGATAAAAGAATGATTTAGAAATTTACCTTAGTTCTGAGTGGTACGAAATCAGGGTATGTTTTATCATAGAATTCATCTAAAGCTCTCATATATTTACTGTAACTAATCAACCAATTAATAGAGGGGAAATGTTTACGTTGAGCTAATTTTTTATCCAATCCCCAGAAGACCTGTACAATACCTAGTGTAGCAGATGTTACAGGATCAGAGAAATCACCACCAGGTGGAGACACACTGAAATAAATACCAATAAATATGAACTTATTAAATTAAACATACATTATGTGAGATTAGATAAAAGAGTTGACTGTTCTCGCTAAGATAGTTAAAAAACAGATAACGTAAACAGAATATGCTGATAATTTCAGTCAAATTGCTCGACTCTAAACCGAGATATTAGCTTTTGAACTTTAGGCTAGCCTTCATCATCATTACTAAAGTTGGTACGATAAAAAACAAAGTCTTGATTATCGATTTTGAAGTTAAATTATCCATCACAAAATGTATTCAAATCCAGTAAACATTGTCGGCTGTGATGGCATTAAGAGTTGATTATGGTCTGGATAAGTTAATTAATGTCTAATTAATAATTTAGATAACACTTCAGGCCTAAAGAAAGACCTGCAATTGGCAGATTTAGCTCTTGTATAATGTTTGTTTAAACAAATTGAGAAATGAATACATGGAGCTTGATGATTGATAAAATAAATATAACATTACTATATATAATGTGCTCAAATGTGTCAGTAAATTTCCTTATTAACGTCATAATGCTGTATTTTACAATCAAATGAACATAAAGATAAAATAAGAAAACTTACGCTCCTACAATACTGACAGAACCCAGTCGTTCTGGATTACCCAAACATTTTACTCGTCCGGCTCGTTCATAGAAAGAAGCTAAACGCGCTCCAAGATATGCAGGATAACCAGAATCAGCCGGCATCTCGGCCAAACGACCAGAAATTTCTCTCAAAGCTTCGGCCCATCGTGATGTAGAATCAGCCATCATAGATACATTGTAACCCATATCACGGAAATATTCAGATAGTGTAATACCTTAACAAGAAAAATGTTTATATTTAATCAGAGACAGAGATAGAAATATTCAGATAGCGTAATACCTTAACAAGAAAAATATTTATATTTAATCAGAGATAGAAATATTCAGATAGTGTAATACCTTAACAAGAAAAATATCGTAAATCAGGTTGTAAAAAAATTGTAATTCTTAGATATCACTGAAAAAGGGCTGCATTTTTATTCAAAAAAGGACTCATCCTCAGTCATTCTGGTACATTCACTAAAGTTATTCCGTCCTTAATCACTGACAAGGGGAATCACGCTGGAAAACCCGAGGTACTTTCACGGCCAATACTGGCAGCGAACACATGACCTCTGAACTAGCGAGCCAGCATCTTACTCACTTACTCACTGTGGCTCCCTGTCACTAAAAACCAAAATAGCTAAGGTAGATAATTTATTTCAATAATTCCCTTGCTCGTAGGGGTCTTTAACAGTGGGAGGAAACCCATAAAGTTGGACAGGGAAATCGAAACCTCGTCAGTTGACTCAATGACAGACTTTGTGATGCAGCACCCACACGCTAACCGTTCTGTAAATACTGATATGCCTTTCACAATACTGCAGCTGGCAAGGGATTCAAACTCCCTGAAATAATGACGAGTACACGCCCATAAGTAAACTTACCTGTATAAATAGAAGCTTCACGAGCAGCTACAGGCATGTTAGATGTATTGGCTACTAGAGCTGTTCTCTTCATAATACTCTCAGGTTTACCTTCAACTTCCATAGTTAGCTACAAAATTTATTACATATATCAATATAATTTTCAATTGTGAAAGGCTAGAGATAGAGAGAGGAAATGGGGTTTAATGTCCACTCTACACAAACTAGGTTATTTCGGGACTAACATATGGTTTAATTTTATTTCAATAATTCGCTTGCACGTAGGGATCTTTAGCAGTGGGAGGAAACCGGAAGACCCGGAGAAAACCCACGAGGTTGGACAGGCAACCCTACTCCTTGTCACGTACAACCAGGGATTCAAAACCACGCCAGTTGAATCATTGACAGGCCTTATGATACAGCACACACATGCTAACCATTCGGCCATCCAACCCCCCAATTGTGTAAGGCTAGAGAGGAGAATTTTGACAGGATAGTCGTGTCTTCACCTACTTATCACTGAATTTCAACTGTCATGGGATCTTTAACATGCACACCAACTGTCATGGGATCTTTAACGTGCACACCAACTGAATGACTAGTCAACGCTTTCCTTGTTAATCCCATAATAGGCACTACCCCTGACAAGTGGGCTCAAGACTTGCGAGGAGAATCATGTTGTGACAGTGGCAATTCTAACTATTTCTCACTGAATTTCAACTTTCATGGATTTCGAATGACTTGCAAACAAATTCCTTGTTAGTTCAACAGTGGAAACTGTGTAACACTTTGGTCCTTAAGACAATATTGGTTCTTTGAAAAATTGTTGTTTCACTCTGTCTATAGAGTCAAATTAAACGTACTTAATGAACGGAAATATATAACTATACATAAAAAACAGTGATATTTTGGTAAAATCATAATCACTGTCAAAATATCCATCAAATTCTATCTGTTTATTGACCTATGGTTGGTAGACCGAATAAGGTCATGTTTCCTCCTCTGGTCTTGTGAAATAAAGAGGTTTATTCCATATTTGGGATGGAAATTAATGTCAAGGTCAATCTAAGACGTGCAGAAATTAGGGGGTTATAAAGGAGGGTGTTGAGAGAGACTGGTCAGAGCTCACACAGATATTCCAAGGAACCTTCAAAGCAATTCCAGCTTAACAATAAAGTTGTAAGGATCATTTTATTCTGTAGTGTTATTACGATCACTAAGAAAACAAACACAACAACTGGACTTAAAAAATGACAAGGTTTTTTTTCTGCTCTATTACAGGTTACACTGAATATGTGTATTAATTGTAATGATGTAAAATCGATACAAGATTATAAGGTATGTTATGATTTATATAATAAACGATATGATATATGAAGATAATTAACAGCATGTGTGCTTGTTATGTTTAGTATGGTAAAGAGAACATCAATAGTTTTCCCAGAGGCATTCATCTGTAATCAGTAGTCAGACAAGACAATAAACTTGGCTTAACTTACATCATAACAACTCAACTTCATGCAGTATGGGTTAAATTAGTTTTACACAATTTTAGTGACATATTGTCTGATACAGTATTTATTTTTGTGTTTTTATTTTGATCAAACATGAGTTATGCAAATGCTAAATCTGCCTATTATAGGTTTTTCTTTAGGCCTGAAATGTTATCTAAACTATTAATTAGACATTTATTAACAAAATAAGAAAATAATCAACTCTCGATGGCATTGGATACTCAAGATTTTAACTAGATTAGAACGGTCCGCCAATTAAAAAATTAATTTAAAAATGGGAAAGCAAGGCTAAGTCTCGAATATACCAATGTCTTGGTTACCACAATTCACACATCTTGTCAAAACTACAAACAGTGATAACTTGGCTCAGTATTTAAATTTTCAGTATTTTCATTTTGCATTATCTATTTTCGAACTATTATAATAAGAATGGTCAGCTCTTTATCTAAATCTTACAGAATGTATGTTTAAATGACACAATATTATTATTATTATGAATTAACTAACCGGATGGTGAGCAATGATTATTATGAATTAACTAACCTGAGGGAAATCTCTCAATACTTCAGACATCTCATTACCTCGTTCTCCACAACCAACATAAATAATAACATCACTGTTGGAATATTTGGATAAAGATTGAGAAATAACAGTTTTACCACAACCAAAAGCTCCAGGGATGGCTGTAGTTCCTCCTTGTACACATCTAGAAATAGTAATAGAACATTTATCTAATTACCCTATGGTTAAACACTTTTATAAGAGACAGAGATATGAAGTTTAACGTCCGCTCGACACAAATTACGTCATTTCGTGACTAACATATGGTTCAATTTTATTTCAATAATTCACTTGCGCGTAGGGGTCTTTAGCAGTGGGAGGAAACCAGAGGACAAGGAGAAAACCCACGAGGTTTGATATGCAACCCCACTCCTTTATGTTTACAACTGGAGAATCGAAACAACGCCAGTTGACTCAATGACAGACCTGATGAAATAGTGTGACGGCCATCCAACCTCCTGCTCTAGTTAGATACAAATAATGATGAGTGCTGTACATGAGCAGGGCATGCTTACCCTTCTCTAGAACACTTGATGCCACTTCTCATTTAAGACGTTTACACAGCTAACAAATCCTTGCTCTTGTATCACTTAATATGCTGGACAGAATTTTTTCAAAGTATTAATATACTTACGGAAAGAGAGCATCGAGTACTCTTTGACCAGTTAGTAGAGGATAGTTAGCAGCTAGTTTTTCATTAACCGGTCTCATCTGACGTACAGGCCATACTTGTAACATGGTAAATTTACTCTTCTGTCCGTCAAATTCAGTTTCCAAGATTACATCCTTAAATACAATATTAATATAAATATAGACTATGTTACCTGTATTGTTGGATATATTACCTGTACAGTTGAGAAACCTCACCTGAGCTGTGGTATTAGAGTTAATATTCTACAGGTAAAAATTAAAATAAAGTAGATGGGCTTTTTGTTACACGTTGAAATTTTGCCGACTCAATCAAATTCTGGTTATCCATTAAATGACTAGAATTTGAATAACAAACAGTGTCAGATGAAATCTTAGTTCAAATTGAAATGGAATTTGAACTAGGAATCCTCAAACTGTAAAGATTTCAAAAGGATTTGTTTATGCTTTGCTTGGTAAAGTCTACAGTAATAAGTTGCTGTTTATAGATTAACGACAATAAATCTATGCTAATCATGTTTAACTATAGGTAGGGGTGGGCGATCTAGGTGACAAGTGTTATCTAAGGCCATTTTGGCTGCTGAATGCGAATCCGATGAGATTTTTGGTATGCAGCCATTTTCAAAATTGTCTTTTTTCCTCATAAAAATAAGGAAATACTGAAACTATTTGCCTAATATGTTCTAATGTATATTTTCATAGGTTGATACAGAGGAATGATGGTTATACTAAAATTGTTCTTTTTGCTATTTGTTTCCAAAAAACATTTTTGACACCCATATTGAAAATAGTCACTGAACAAACCTAAAATGAGGTCACATACTAATAATCTCATCGAATTCAGATTCAGCAGCCAAAATGGCCTTTAGAAAATACTCATCACGTGGGATATCAATTGCCCACCCCTACAATAGCAAATACAGCGTAAATTCTTATACAATTAATTAAATATTTTACAAAATAATTGTACTACTTACATTAATATCATAGTTTCCTGGTTCGGCTATATACGTTACTGTTCCTTTAGCTTTAGGTGGTAGCATTACTTTATGTTTAATTAAAATATTCTCGTAGACCACACCATATATATCACCTCCAGTAATATGACTACCGACACGGACATTCAGGGGCTCAAAATCCCATTTCTTGTTTCTATTTAAAGCTGGTGTATTAACACCCTTAGGAATGTAAATACTTTGAGTGAGATCACAAATATCTTCTAATGGTCGCTGGATACCTGGTAGAGAATAGAAATGAAACTGGTATTATATAACAGCTAAATCTGCCTATCTGGGCCTTTAATGTTCTATAAATTATGATTTAGACATTTGTTAACATGACAAGACCATAATTAACTCTCGATGTCTTCTGATGCCTCTGATTTTAAGTCGATTAGAACGGTTCGGCAATTTAATGATTAAATTTAAAAATGGGGAAGCGAGGCTAAGACTCGAATGACCAGTACAGTAGTTACGATCAATTAACACATCTTGTCAAAACTACAACCATTGATAACTTTGCTCAGAATAAAGTAATTTGAATGAAATTTTCAATATATTCATTTTACATTATCTATATTGAGCTATTATAGCGAGAAATGACAGCTCTTTATCCAAATCTTATATAATGTATCTTTAAAGTCTTTGATTAATGATATTTGTTAGAACAACAGATTGTTTCAAATAAAATGGCAAGGGGGACAACTATAATGACATGTGCTTGTTACAACATAATACTTTATAGTCTGAAGGCTCAGTGCGGAGGGGTATCCATCAAATGGGCACAAAATCAGACCCAACTTTTCTATAGTAATATTTCACGTAGAATACGATACCATTTAAAATCTATACCATTTGATGGACACGGGCCTATTAGGGAAAAGTCTTACTGTATCGCTAACCAGAATGTACGTAAAAGTCACGCCAATTTGGGAAATCATTAACCAATAGACTTCTTCTCAATGTGATTAATACATATAATTAATATATTTTGTTCTAAAACTTTATGGACTCTTAGGATCCAACCAACTCCAAACAACATGGTTAACAGACATTTCACAACATTTTCTAAAGGCATCAGAGTGTCGATGTCAGTTAATTGCAGACTCCATTAAGATATGGTTGTATAAACAATAAAAGTTATACTGTACTTACCATCAAAAATACTACCCATAATACCAGGACCAAGTTCAACAGACAGTGGTTTACCTGTTCGTAAAACAGGATCACCTACCGTAACACCAGCTAAACAGGTGGTTAGGGAAAAATATCATATATATGTACATTATGTCACAGAAAACATTAGAAAAGGTAACCTGAATGCTGGACAAACTTTCTCTGGTCAAATAATAAAAACAGGTATTGTCTCTTCATAACCAAAAAATGCCGAGTATTTTCTTCATTACTTTATTATCCTATCATGTGTGTAATGCAGAACGGCCAACAAATTTTTTCTGAGCAATAATTTTCTCCTACTTTTCTTCAACTTGGTCAGCACGCTCCCTAGCTCAACTTGGCGAGTATGCAGTACTCAATCATAGAATTACACACAACACTCCCCAACTCAACTAGGTCAGTATGCAGTAGGATCAGACACACAACACTCCCTAGCTCAACTTGGCGAGTATGCAGCACTCAATCATAGAATTAGGTCAGTATGCAGTAGGATCAGACACACAACACTCTCCAGCTCAACTTGGCGAGCATGCAGTACTCAATCATAGAATTAGGTCAGTATGCAGGAGGATCAGACACACAACACTCTCCAGCTCAACTTGGCGAGTATGCAGCACTCAATCATAGAATTAGGTCAGTATGCAGTAGGATCAGACACACAACACTCCCTAGCTCAACTTGGCGAGTATGCAGCACTCAATCATAGAATTACACACAACACTCCCCAGCTCAACTAGGTCAGTATGCAGTAGGATCAGACACACAACACTCCCTAGCTCAACTTGGCGAGTATGCAGCACTCAATCATAGAATTAGGTCAGTATGCAGTAGGATCAGACACACAACACTCTCCAGCTCAACTTGGCGAGTATGCAGTACTCAATCATAGAATTACACACAACACTCCCCAGCTCAACTAGGTCAGTATGCAGTAGGATCAGACACACAACACTCCCCAGCTCAACTAGGTCAGTATGCAGCAGGATCAGACACACAACACTCTCCAGCACAACTTGGCGAGCATGCAGTACTCAATCATAACTAGAATCACAACGCTCTACAGCACAACTTAGTCAGTACTAAACAGCTAGGATCAGACACACTAACACACTAAATATATTAATAACAAAATTAATAAATAAATTTGTCAGGAGCAGCCCTGATAAATATAAGTATAATAAAAAGATACAAGTTTCTTCATAGACCTGAATCGTGGCCATATCACCTTCAAGACGAATAATTTCACCTACCAGTTCAAAATGACCGACACGTACCAACTCGTACATAGCAGCTCCAGACATATTCTGGGCCACCACAACTAATTAAATAAAAGAATTTAAATTAAATACATGCGGAGAAATATAACATCAACCTTTCGATGCAAAATGCAGCATGTGCACAAGCTTTCCTCACTTTGTTTTCCTGCTAATAGAGCTTATGCCAGGTTGCCAATATCACGATTCGTGCAGCGATTGAAATCGTGGTTTTAATCATGGTGATCCTATCGGGACTTATCATATATTGAGGTCATTCGTGGCAATCTTGTCGAAACGTATCTGAACGCATCTGCACGTACCAGATCGTGGACTCACTATGGACAATCCTATCGTAGCACGTTGCATGGCAGTGGGAATTTAGCATTACAATTTATATGCTTTATAGTATCATGTGATTTATCGGTGATAATATTTAACCGAATTTCAGAATATCAGGTAGAAAATAGTTTTAATTGTATCTTTAATGTAGGTTCTATAGCAAGTTTGTTGTTAGGTGTAAGAAAGAATCATTATTTCCAGTTTCTGCCACTAGTTTAAACAGTGGACATAAAATACTCACCAGGACCTGAGACACCATAGACATAACCATATTTAGATTCTCTTTCTTCATCCCTTATCTTAGGAAGACCACGAGTTCTATCCATTCCTCCAGCCTATAAAATACAATTATATAAACTTGATACTAATATTACAAGATGGACAAACCTACATTAAAGATAAATAATAACATAAATATCCTATCACTGAATATATGGACTTATTAAAATCAGTGCTAACATTTCATTCTGTTACTCCTCTTACTCTAGTGTTATACTTTCACGCTTGTAGGCTGCGTGTTCAATCCCTGCATTTTAAGGGTTTAAAGGGTTCGATCCCTGCATTGGCCGAGAAAGTTCATCAGGATTTTCAGATGTGGTTTCTGCTTGTTGGTGCAGGATGGAGGGCCTGACAAGGACAGCTGTCCAGTCGTTCGGATGGGATGAAAACTCGAGGACCTGTGTATACATTGGCGTACACGTAAAAGATCCCTTGGCAGTTGGAATTCGACATAAAAGTAGGCCATAGTACTGCTGTCCAGGCAACATTTCTCTCATAGCATACTGTATGGCGTATGCCCGTCTTCATTAACTCAGTCGGAGCAGAACAGTAGGACGTTAAACCCCATTTCGCTATATTTTCCCATGTATAAAAGATTTATGAGATACATGTAGATAAAGAGACAAGCTAATGTTCTTGTATTGAAGAAAAGATTGGGCATGTGAACATGGCTGTATCTAGTTGTAAACTATTTTATCAAACTGTTATCTATACTTTACATCATAACCTGGACAGAGATATTGTATAGTAACTTGTTTATCACTCTTACATATAACCTAATGGGTGACAATGCATTTTAGTGCATGTATAACACTATATGTATTATACAGTAAATCTGATAAAATAACTGTCATGGCCGTCAAACAGGCCTGGAAATAACGGCTTTAGATGAACCTGACAAAATGTCAGGCACTAATGAAATAGTTCCTGACATTTTCAACTTAGTGCAGACCATGTATTAATAATATCAATAAAAAAGACAAATCAGTGCCAGACAAAATGACAGGACCAGAGGTTGAGTGCCTGACAAAGCCTGAATCTGTGCCTGACATTGTCTGTGACAGGTGCCTTATTTTCAGGCTTGTCGTCAAACTTTCAGCAGTTTCATGATTTTGTCCACAGGCTAAATGTTAGAAAAGGTGAAATGTTTACAATTTCTGATTGTTTTCAAGTTTTCCTATCTCTTCAAAATATACATGCCCTGACATCATCTGTACAGTGTATATCCAAGTAAGTAATGTCCAAACCGTACAACTGTCTAATGAAGAAGGGTATACGCCATGCACTGATTTATGAGGCAGATTGTGTCCTGACAGTGGTATTACTGCCTACTCATACTTCGATTTTACAACTAGCAGAGACCCTACACGCCATGCACTGATTTATGAGTCAGATTGTGTCCTGACAGTGGTATTACTGCCTACTCATACTTCGATTTTACAACTAGCAGAGACCCTACATGTATGTCACACACCACAATGGGAACCATGCTAGCAAATAACAAGAAACTTTCTCTGCCAACCCCTGGGGTGGAATTAGGGATCTCCTGGCTAGTGCACCAGTACTATATACCCTCCGAGCTACCATGGCTTCCAAAAATATTTAATTTGAAAGCAAAAAAAAAAAACATGAACATTTTGGCGACGGAGAGACCAATGATTCAACAATTTATTCCAAATTTTAACAGCCAAACAAATAAAATTAAAATTTTTAAAAATGGACTAATGCCTCTTTAAAGGTACATGAAATTTAAAATGAGTTGAAAATGAAAATAGATCTGATATGTTACTAGGAAACTGTTTACCCAAATAGAAATCTTATTAAACACAAGGTACAATTTTATGGATACACAATTAATGCCAATTACTAAATGCCAATCAAAGAAGAAATCTTATTATATAATGGTTAAATTTTTTTAAGGCAATGTTAAGGCAACCAATTTTTTGTATGTTTTTTGCTGGTTTTGAAATGCTTACACACAATTTAAAACAAGACATGCAAGATAAGCACACATTTTTCAAGCGATGGACAGAGAACATTAAAGAAAAAGCGATTTATCGCACAATCACAGGTGATAATCCAGGAAGTTATGGTCTGAAATGCACGATTATCGAAAAGATCTTTGGGATATAAACATGTATTTTAAGTTTCATTAAAATCAGACAAAAATTGTGACCTCTAGTGGGTATAAAATGTGGGCGTATAAAAAGACTTCGGGTATCTTACAGTAAAAATTCTAATTTATCGTATTGAAATATTAATTTTATTAATGCTATTTCGAAGTTTCATTCTACATTGCACAATACATGCATACATATCAGTAATTTAAAAAGAATTCCTTTGAGCATTTATTACCAATATTCCTTTACCCTCCCAAAATTTATCTTCCCAAAAGTTATTTATTACCGATATTCCTTTACCCTCCCAAAAGTTATTTATTACCGATATTCCTTTACCCTCTCAAAACTTATTTATTACTGATATTCCTCTACCCTCCCACAATTTATTTATTACCGATATTCCTTTACCCTCCCAAAAGTTATATATTACCCATATTCCTTTACTCTCCCAAAAGTTATTTATTACCAATATTCCTTTACCCTCCCAAAAGTTTTTCCAGACATTTTTAAATTAAATACATATAAATACATGTACATGTAATATAAAAGTTTATCCCAATAATAAATAAGAAAAGGGCTGAGAAATGTGCGATATCATATATTGTAGATGTAGTTTGCTTATTTAATCATGTGGGTCTATTCATGTCTGTTTGGTTTTTAGCTCTCAAGTCTATTTAAATAACTGCGTATCCTGGTACGTGAACTATTTATTGACAGTGCAAAAACTCCAATCTTTTCCCGGTAATATAGTGATTATCAACTGAAGGTGACCTACAATATTATTCTTGTTATTATTTAAGAAATAATGAAATGTTTGGGGTAGATTTAATTATAATAAAATAATGCAAAAGGTTTTTTATAATATTTGATAATATCGAATAATAATTACAAATGAATCTTGCCATCTGAGGAAGCATAAATCAATTATTTATATTTATATGTTAATAGTTCTGGATGAATAATTTGAAACTTGAATAATCATTACAAATACAATAAAATGTTGATTGAAGCATATAAATAAATACCAAATATTATGTACAATATTATTATTTGTCATGTGGACATAGCTATAATTAACTTCAACGGTGGAAGGATAATTTTTACTAAAGGCAAAGGGCCTACACTCGCGCTGAATGTAAAGAAATTACTGTAATATGAGATGTTTTTTGGGGACCTTATCCAAAATATGGACACCTAAACACGAATAGAAGCAGCCGTACATGTGTATACAAAAAATTCGGTTATAACACCAAACTAGAATCATAAGTCACACGCGAGTCAAGTGACATTGAGACATACATAATCTGGCTAATTAGTCAATTCATTTACTGATTACGATGCAAATAAATTTCTAAAAATGGTTCAGCACATCTAAAATTCACTGAAAATAAAAAATTAAGAACGAACAGCTGTCAGTTCTACAATAAAGTATGTGAAAATTGATAATATTTAGGAAACAGTGAAGATGTTACAACTCACCATTTTGATGTCTTAAAATCATGTGACTTGTGTACAATTCAACGCATGCGTATTTAATATATTAATTAGCTTCCGGTTTGAGGGCGGGAAGTTGCACGTTGGAGATACAACTCGATTTATTTTGGTTTATTGACGACAACAAAAAGGGCAACTTACCAAAATGACAAAGTATTATGGCTGTTTGTTTTCTTATCAAGTTATATTGACCTTTTGAGTCCATCAATAACTATTATATTTATGTTAATTTAGACTGAAATTATGTGAGGAGGTGTACGATTTGTCATTATTTTGGGAAAGTCCCTCCATCGAGTTGCTAGGTTCTGAGAGTTAACAAAATAAAAGAATCAAATTTATTTCCTTGATTCAAGCTGTATTAGTCAGACTATATCTCTAACACAAAATGTGATGATATTATTAACTCAACAAAGATAATGAATATGAAACCTTGGCTTTCCGATGTGGTTTCTCCTTGACATTACAAGGACAGCAGTCTAGTCATTCGGATGTCATGAAAAACCGAGGTCCAGTGTACACAGTGGTGTGCACGTAAAAGATCCCTTGTCAGTTGGAATGCAATATAAGAATGGGCCGTAGTGCCGCTGCCCGGGCAAAAATTTCCCTCATAGCCCAGTCGGACGTTAAAACCCCATTTCATGTCAATTGCAATCAGATGATTACATGATGTTTCGATCCCGTAACATTTCTAACTCAACAAACATATGGCCTTGACGCTTTGGTGTAGGTGAACGACTTGGGACTCAAGTAACCCTAAATAACATTTTATAAAACAAAAACATGCAGGTAAAATTTACTGTTAGTCATCAAATATAGCATGTATATGACATGTTGTTTAGGCCTACAGAGGAACTGTAATATTTCTCATGTTGATTGTTTACTAAAAGAATGATTTATATGTCTTAAGCTCGAGACCATTAAACAACTTAAAATACAGACACTTGCACATGCTTTGCAATGAAATACGTCACTCGAGTTCAATATTTTACCAAGTTATGCTTGGCACATTGGCCGTACGATTATTTGAAATAATGGTACTCCAACATCAAAGGATGACGTCACATCTGTATTTTAAAAACAGTTAAGTAAGCCTCAACCATAATCAGATTTAGTCTGAATCATGGTTTATGTTGAGTATGATAGGCCACGGGACCGAAATGTTGTGATACCAATATTTATGAATCGAGATATTAGCAATTGAATTGTAGGCCTAGCCTCGAACATCATTACTAAAGTTGGTATGATAAAAACACAATGTCTCAATAATCCATTTTGACGTTAAATCATCCATCACAAAATGTATTCAAATCCAGTAAATATCGCAGGCTAGCGTTGGCATCCGGAGTTGATATGATCTGGATAAGTTAATTAATGTCTTGTTAATAATTTATATAACATTTCAGGCCAAAAGAAAGACCTGCAGATTTAGCTCTTGTATAAATATTTTTAATTGTATCAAACCAATTCAGTCATTATTTTGTAGAATTCAAGTTTTGTGTTTTTTTGTTTTCAGAGGAAGAATAGAATTAGGAGATATTACACAACACAACATCAAACAACTGAAACGCTTAAATCAGGTTGTTTTTCCTGTTACATATAATGATAAATTCTATAAAGATGTTCTAGAAGTAGGAGAATTAGCTAAATTAGGTAAGTAAAAAGACAATCTCTACCTGTTAAAAAGGATGATTGAAAGACATAATTTCTACCTGAATAAAATAATGATCGGTTTCAATATATTGCAAGAGTTTAGACAAATAAAGACTCAAATATTCCAAGATATGTTTTATAGAGTTGATAGATGTTCTGTTCTTCTGCCAATAACATTGTTTCTGTTAAGTATTTAACTAAATGGAGATATTTCATAATCTTTCTACCAAACCATTCCTGGTTCACAATGTTTTCTTAATGCAACAATCCCTCAGCTTTCTGGGCAGTAATGTGTATTATGGTTATAGCAATGTTTTCCTAATGCAACCATCCCTTAGCTTTCTGGGCTGTAAATGTGTATTATGTCAGTGATGGTCTGATTCTGATATTTATTCACATATCACTTGCTCATTAACCAGGAATTCTGGGTGTTCGATCCCAATGTTGGCCGAGAAAGTTCCCCACGATATTCCAGCATGGCCTTTTCCCTCGTCAATGGTCATTCGGATGCGACGAAGAAAACCCTAAGGTCCAGCGTACAGATAAAAGAACCCTTAACAGTTGGAATTTACTTGCTGTCTGGGCCAAACTTCAAGCAATACACACATGGTGAATGCTCATCTTCATTAGTGCAGTTGGAGCAGAACAGTAGGATGTTAAGGGGAGGCACTGCTTGACAAATATGAATTTTAAAATAACTGGCTTCTAATAATGCTATCAACTTGAAATTTCCAGGAATTGTTCACATCGACAAAATAGGCTAATCGGCAGTTTTGGGGGAATCTGCTTTACTGGTTACCATGGAAACAAAAAAAATCATTTTTACTGCTTAAAAAAAATCGTTCTCTGAAAGTATCAAAGGTAGAAGCCTGGAACTTTTTTTAAAATGTTCCTAGGACATTTCTCTGTGCAATTATCAATATAGTGTTGTTATTGTGTCCTTACATGTCATTCTATGTCAACAAAACAAAAATTATGAAAAATGTTGTTTTCAATGAGAGATTTCAAATGCCAATTTACTACACTAAAAATTCATTTAGAGTACTGAAATCCTTATTTGCATGGAACTAACATTACTTAAGTATGTGTGTAAGTTTCAGACATATCTGTTGTAAACTTTTCAAGAACGATTTTTTGTAAGGTTTGTCGACTGTTGATATTTTACTTTTTGAGAAATTAAGACATAAAGAGGTAAAACAGCAAAATTTGAATTGCAAGAGTGTTCAAAAGTGCATTTTTTCTATCATAAACCACTTTATATGTATTTTCTTTAATTACAAGTGAAATAAAAATGAATGAACATCACAAATATGCAAATATAAAAAATCGATAATTTGAGTCAAAATTGACATTTGTCGACCCTTGCCTCCCCTTAAACCTCATTTCATTAATTAATTCACTTGGACAAATGAAATGAAATGAAATGGGGTTTAATGTGCTACTGTTCTGCTCCGAACTGGGCTAATAAAGACGGCGACGTTGACAAAGTTGAATACCAGAATGTTACTGTTATCATTATTTTGTTATGCCTAATTATTTGCATAAAAACTTGAACTAATGTTTCAGGTTGCTGACTACACAAAAGATAATTTTGTACCCTTTAATTATATTCTGGTTGATATATTTCAGCATATTGTTGATATATTATAATGATATTATTGTTGATATATTATAATGATATTATTGTTGATATATTATAATGATATTATTGTTGATATATTATAATGATATTATTGTTGATATATTATAATGATATTATTGTTGATATATTATAATGATATTGTTGTTGATGATATTGTTGTTGATGATATTGTTGTTGATATATTATAATGATATTGTTGTTGATGTTATTGTTGATATATTTCAGCATATTATAATGATATTGTTGTTGGAGCTGTGTGTTGTAGAGTAGATACATCAGATAATCAGAGAAGATTATATATAATGACATTGGGTTGTTTGGCTTCATATAGAAGATTACATATAGGTAAATTATAGCAGTTGGAGAAAATTTAATGTTAATGAGGAAGATGAGCTTTAGATCAAAATATCTGCCTTACATCGTACGTGTCAATTGACAGGGTTTCAATCCCAGTTCCGTACACGACTAGGGGGCTGCTTAACCATGTAAGGTTCCCTGCTAAAAATCCCCCATATACAAGCAAACCATTGAAATTAAATTGTACTATATTTTAGTCCTGAAATGACCTAGTATGTTAAGTTGAAGTTAAAGTCTGGGGGATCACGTGGCTAAGTGGGTAAGACGCTAGCTCGCTAGCCTGGAGGTCGGGTGTTCGATCCCTGCATTGGCCGAGAAAGTTCATCCAGATTTTCCGGCGTGGTTCTCCCTTGTCAGTGATGCAGGACGGAGGGGCTGACAAGAAAAGCTGTCTAGTCGTTCGGATGGGACGAAAAACCAAGGTCCCGTGTACACATTGGCGTGCACGTAAAAGATCCCTTGGCAGTAGTAGGCCGTAGTGCCGCTGCCCGGGCAAAATTTCCCTCATAGCACACTGTATGGCGTATGCCCGTCTTCATTAGCCCAGGTTAGGAGCAGAACAGTAGGACGTTAAACTCCATTTCATTTCATTTTGAAGTTAAAGTCTATTTCCCTCTCTCTGGTTTAATATTTTCCCATTGGGTTTTTTGGAGTTACTTCCCTTGATACAGTAGTACACTAAAGTAATAGAATAGATTATATTTGTACTTACTTAAAAAACAATCTTACAAATATTTATAATTTCTAAGATACAAAAATCCCCCCCCCCCCCCAAAAAAAATAAAACAAAAAAAAACATGATAGATACAACATCTGATTGACACCAATCAAATAAAACTTCATCTTGAATCAATGATTGGTGCAAATGATTCAAAAATCAGTTTTTTTTATTGTCCTGATCCAACAGACCAATATCCTTAAGACTGGTCCAGTCCCAACATTCATCAGATATACATGTATGATAGGAATGGATGACAAGAGTCTACTATAAATATCCCATATGTCATCAACCCAGATGTCATATTAAATTGGCTCTAGCTATATTCCGACCTTTTAAAATTTGCATCTAAAATACAGAAAATTGTAAACTGGGAGAATTCTAATTGAAATATGATACTATATTTCTGTGTAACATCAGGTAGTGTTCCAGTTATAGCTAACTATGACATTATATTTCTGTGTAACATCAGGTAGTGTTCCAGTTATAGCTAACTATGACATTATATTTCTGTGTAACATCAGGTAGTGTTACAGTTATAGCTAACTATGATATTATATTTCTGTATAACTTCAGGTAGTGTTACAGTTATAGCTAACTATGATATTATATTTCTGTATAACTTCAGGTAGTGTCATGGTGAAACATGTTCTTAATATCTGTGAAAAAGATGGAAACTTTGAT